CCTTTACATTCCTCCTCTAGGCTCTTGTGACTGCTCTCCGCCGACTTTCACCACCCCCTGATCGCTCTCTATATACGTCACCATGATCTAATCTAAGCAGTGACTCACAGGGGCAGGCAACCGCGTCATCTGCGCAGTGCGGGCCAAGCAGCCTCAAGAAAATCGGCAAGTAAACAACCTGGCGCTTTTGGGAAATTGCAAACCTTATCCGGAGCATTCAAAGTCGATAAGAGTCGGTACCCCCCATTTAAAAAAAAAATTAAACCTCACTTCATCTCGAGCATCGAGCTAGCCATAATTTTTAAAAAGGCCCGTGTTATCTATCCACCAACCACGCAGCGCTCTGCCAACACGTGCAAAGCACTTGTCCCGCGACACTTATCTTGCCAAGCAGCTCGCACAGAGTTCAAGAAAATCGGCAAGTAAATAACCTGAACCCAAGGCCGGCGAGCGCTCATTCGGAAACAATCTTATCCGGAGCAAGGTCGACGTCTCCTTACACCCTCATAACTCTTTTTTTTCAATTCAATTGCTCATTTCATCTCAAGCGTAGCCTTCCCAAAGAAACAAAAAAAGATAGCGGTGGCCCTGTTATCTATCCACCAACCACGCAGCGCACGCGTCTACAAAACCTGACCACGCTACACCAGCGTCTGCCCACACGTGCAAAAAGCAAGGCACTGGCGTCTGGCGTTTATCTACCCAAGGCTAGCCAAGGCCCAAGGACGAAGCAAGGCACCCCACCCAAGCTCAAGGCACGTCGACGCGTCAACCGGCGTGACAGTCAACACTCAAGCTTGTCATTCAATATTCAACTGCCATTGCCGGCTCACCTGTTCTCAGTCTCCAAGCAGGCTGTTCGATTCCACTCGAACCAGAAAGCTCAGGTACATTGTGACTCCCGTCGGGACTTGGTCATGAGGCCGAACTTGAAAGTTCAAGGTGACAGCCGTTCAACTGTCAGTTGTTCGACGATATGATTATATTGGCGTCTGACGGGGTGGTGACCGTTGCGTTTTGGACGCTATAGAGTCTCGTGGCCCGGAATGCGCTGACTTGAATTAGTATTGTGAAAGACTTCACGAAACAGTACAACTATGCAAGTCAACAATACCACAAGTCAAAACTCATATCTGAATCCTACATCTGCAGGTCCTCGCCGCGCGTGCTGTATGACGACACGCGTACCACTGGCACTGGCGTCGGAATTTTTTTTCGTGTTGAAAATAATTCTAATCCTACACGGTGTCCGGCAACTATGTAGGTATATTTTTATCTCCGTTGTCGGACAGAGCCCAGCGGGTAAGTTCTTTTGTCTCTTCACGGTCTAACCTTTTTATTCAGGTGCCCGTTGTAAATCAAGTGAATCGGCTCGCCGGCAGGCTCTGCCTTCAAAACAAAGTTTTATCACTACTGCAACACTCACCGCGACACCAACTATATCCCACTCCAATGATCCCACTCACCCCGTCCGGCCACTGACTCGTAAGTTCCAACAAAGAAAAAATCTGGGGTGTCCACAACCTGAGGCTGTTCAATCACACTGGGCCGTTATGTATCTAATAATAATAATAACTGACTGCGAGTTGATAGGAATGATGACGTCGTCGCAGTGGGAAACACACCATGTTCTATTCATAGCATCACTGCTCTCGCGGCAGAACCCTAGTCGTTTTTACTCATACTTCAACACGTCAACGAACAACAGGCTACAAAAAAAAACCAGATGGCCTATGGGTCAAGACTTTAGGGACCCGTCGGCCCCTTTGACCAAAAAAAAAATTGGGGTCGGGGTCGGGGTGGTTTTTACTTTCCCTAAACGACGGATTTCGCTGATTGTGAAACATATACGCATGTACGTGTGAGACGCGTCCATAATTATGACATCCGAGGGGGTCGTCCCCAATTGCAAGTCCCCATCTATAAATAAAATACTGAGCCTGACCAGGGTCGATCGTTTACATGACGTCCATCGTGAATTTGCTTCCGTTTCAAGATATTTTAAGGGGTTGTTCAACGAGGTAGATCCAAATTCATACGACTAGCTTGCAACTACATGTGCAGTCAAGAAACGGGACGTGAAACTGTATTGGCCTTTGAAGCGGGCTCCATTATTTCGCGCCGAGTATCCCAGCCTGTTACGGCAAGCCACCCATCGCTTCACAAGAATTTTGTTTCTCATTTGGTTCCCATCTATCTGAATACAGTGCTCTCTGCACTGGCTCGTGCATGAGTCCGACCCATTCGGCCGCCGACTCTCAAACCAGGCCAGAGCACCAGGAAAGCACCATTCGTTTTTCCGTTCCCAGTCCAACCCATTCATCATCACAGAAGTTTCTTCATCAGATGTGCAAACGACTCGAGAAACACAGTAAGAATTATGTACAATCGTCACGGCGACAAATGTCCATAATTAGCCAAGGAGGAGATATTTACAATTGCCTAAGAGCAAAACCCGAGAGAGATGCCAGAGCATACAGGGAAAAACCAGTCGGATTAGGAAAACAGAGTCCCAAGCAACGCAAAACGATCGAACAACAGGACATTGATAATGAGAACGAACCAGCCACTTGCACTTCTTCTGACAAGTCTTGGCAGGCCCATCAGGGACTTTACTGGGGAAGTCGAAACCGAAACTTCTTCCTGCGGGGACGGGATGATAGGCGTCGTAACGACAGCCGGATTCTGAACTCCCAGAAAAATGGGGTTGAAAAACAGCGGGGGAATATCGGAGCAGAGGAACGTGCATACCAAGCTTCGTTTTGTCCCCACAGGCTCCTCGACGGTCACAGTAGGTGGCGGTGATATAGAACGACCCCCGCTTTCTCATGGACCTCCCTGTTGGTGACGAAAGCTCCAGATCGGACAAGTCGTTCAGATCGTTGTCCCTGTTGTCGTACTCATAGTCCGAATTGGCGTCCTCAAGGGCCTTGAAGCTCTTCTTCTTTTGATTAGTTGCCCTGGGCTGAGGTTTTGAGATGGGTGATGGTGGTTTGATCATTTCTTCCTGTTCAAGTTGTTTGGGACTTGGGGCCGGTAAAGAGAGGTGGGCTGGATCTGGTGATGAGCGCTGCGCCGCTTCAGGATCGTTTGCTTCATTGCATTATCGGCCTATGATGATGATGAGCCAATAAAGATAAAGTCAGAGGAGCGTATACATGGGCACATTACCAAAGCTTGCAATGACTCGTCAATTGGGCTCGAGGGCAGTCACATCCGGAAATTCAACAAAGTCTTCGCGTCAGGCCCAGCACTCTTGGCCCTCTCTTGGAGCATCTGCACCAGTGCTGCGTCCAAAGACTGAATTCTACTATGGAGGCCAGTTGCGAGGCGTTCACACTGGGAGATCAAGGTCAGTGGGTTTTCAAACACACACACGGTAACACTAACTCTTCGAAGCTCGTTCTCCTGAGCGACGAGGTCCTCGTTTGCGTTTGAAGGATAATGTTTGATAATGTTTGCACTTGAAGAATAATGTGATTCACCAGGTCCTTCTCTAAGTCGGTCTACAAAAGTCGAAATCAGGTCTGGATGAGTTCACAAGGAGATGACCTTACCAAGTTCGCATCATGGTACCGACTCAAAAGCGTTTCCGCATGCTTCATCATTTCGCCCACCCTTGCCTCCAACTCCTCAGCTCGGGCTTTCATGACCTTCATCTGCCCAGACTCCCTCGTCGCCGCAGCCTCGCCATCCTCAGCAATCGCAATCACAGACATCTCCGCCAAAGCAAGCCTACCAGCAAGCTCCTCCCTCACCACTCTTGCTTCTTTAGCGTCATTCTCCGCCAGGGTGGCTGCCTTCTCATCGGCAACTGCGCGTTTTTCTTGCGCCGAGACAAGTCGCTCGTTAGCTTTCTCCTGCTTGTTCATTTTTTTCTCAAAGTCCACTTGAGCAACTGCCAGCGAGGCGGCGGATTCCCGAGTAAGTTGATTGAAGGAGGCTTTGAGGTTCGTGGTCTCACGCTCAAGCGCGAGTTTCTGCTCATGGGCAACAGCGAGTTCCGTCCTGAGGTTGTGAATGATCTCTTGAACGCCCGCCTGAGGTCGAAGTATATCAACAATCACTGAAGTATCATGAGAAACGGCAGACTTCACCTCATTCGCAGTGATCTGGTCCTTGGCTAGCGTTAAAGCAGCCGTCTGCTCATCCAATTTAGTCTGCGTTGTTCATCATAACGTCAGTAGAGTACCCATGTCGCTAGCGCAACGAATCCATCACCTGGAGTGCGTTGTTGATGTCATTTGCTGCCACTAGAGCCACATCTTGCTCATCCAACCGCTTCTGAGAATAATGTCAGTGATGAATATGCGAAGTACAAGTTATTACCAACCTCCAACCGACGATTCGCTTGATGAAGACTGAAAATGTGGAAAAAGCATCAGCTCTAACCATTACTAACGTCAGAAAACAAGCGACAAACGATTCAATAGTTTTACTCACTTCCTCACCGGCCTTCTTGGCTTCCGCTGTGACCCGCTTGATCTCAGTTTGAACTAGTTGGCTCGTCCGTACAGCCAGAGCTTCTTTTGTACTATCTTGAATCTGTGCTCGTAACTTAGAATTCAGACCCTCCCTAATAAAACGGTATCAATCAACGTTGAGAGTGAAGCGTAATGAAAAGGTAGCCGTACCATTCGGTACGAGCAACTTCAAGGTTCTCGACCTTGTCTTCAGAACGTCGCTTTCCTCCTTGCGCTCACGAGCCTCGGATTGAGCCAGTGCGAGCCACTCTCTTGTTCTACAAAAATGGCGTTAGAAAGACAGAAAGGTGGTTAATGGGTGATGTACATCTTTAACGACGCTTCTGCAGAAACGACCTGCGAATTCAAATCCTCGACTTTTTGCTCCATCAAGGTATTTCTGCACAGATTATCGTCAAAGGTACACGAGAGGGTATGTCGCCATCACTTACGAATCCCTAGCTCTGAGTTCGCGGTCTTTCTCCGTGACCGCTTTCTTAGCCTCCACAACCCTGATACTGTGTATAAGCCCACCAAACACGAAAAAAGAGGAACCTGACAGTGCTCTCAACTCAGCCTTCGACTCGCCGAGAGCCTTGACCTCTGCCTTCAAACCGATAATCTCCTTGTCCTTGGCATTGATGACTTCTTGAGATGCAAGCAACTTGGAAAGACCCCTGTTAAAAAGCCGGTAAGCGGAAGTCAAACCGAAAGGCAGAGGATGCTCACTCCTCCTTGATGACCCTCAGCTCCTGCAGCTCAAGGAGATTTGCTGATGAAGACGTCTTCATGTTCTGCAATCTGAAAGGATAGTTCACGCGTCCTGTAAGATTCCAACACAAAAGTAGAACCTACTCATGAGTGACAGCAATGAGCTTTGCCTCTACACCAGCTGCTTCGGCAAGGGCATCAATACTTTCCCGTTCGTGCTTCGCCAGACGGTCCGTCAGGTCTTCTACCTTGGTCCCTTGAGAAAACGAAAACATAAGTGTCCATACAGGAGCAAAGGCAGTTGACAGAAATGCTCACCGACACTGCATAAAACCTCCAAGCTCTGCTTATCGTCCAAGCGATCGCGAAGAACACTCAGCGTCCCGCGTTCCGTATCTTCGAAATCTTTGATCCGTGCTTGCGCATCCACGAGCTGAGAAGATAGATGGTGGAGCTTGTCTCGGAGGAGATCATTCACACGCTGGGCTGTAGAGGGTCAACGAACGATTAGATGAAGAGCGAGAACGAGCTTACATGACCCCAACTCTCCCTGGAGTTCTTGAATGGTGTCTCTCATTTCAGATGCGCGAGAAAGGCCACCGCCTACTTCAAGGAGAGGTTTGACACCTAGTAGTGGCGGACACGTCGTCAACATTGCGAAAACCAGCTGAAATAGTCTTACTGGTCAAGGCATCCGCTGCAGAGAGCTTAATCTCAGTCGCCTCGGCGACAGCTTGTGAAAGCGAAGCTTCCGAAGCCTCATGAGACTTTCCAAGAGCAATGAAGGAAGAATGAAGTGACTGGTAGCTATTGAAGCTAGCATTAGTAAGAAGCAACAGGAATTGACTGATAACTTACTTTTCTCGGAGAGTTGCCAGACCTTGCTTCGCCGTGACTAGCCTCTTTTCAGTTACCTCCTTCACCAACTTTTCCTGTTCATAAGAATGCGCCATTTGCTCCAAAGAAGTTTTGAGAGACGATATTTCGGCGACGGCATCCGCAAGATTCGAGCGTGTTAAGGCAAGGTCAGACTTCGCGGTGCTTAATTCATTTTCCGTTGATTTCAACAGTGGGAGAGCGCCGGCGAGCTCCGACCTAGCAGACGCCAACTGCGCTGCTGTAGCGGAAAGCTCTTCACGCGCAAACTTGAGATCCTTCGCCGCCGTACTGCGCATCTGAGATAAATACTCATTTTGGGTTTGCAGCGCGATGGATTCCGCAAAGAGAGCCTCGTAGTGGTGGTTCTAAAAGAAAAGGTTCAGATAATGGACGCAAGAAGAATCACAAAGGAACGTACATGCTCAAGGAGATCGCTAAACGCTCGCTTTACATCCCTTTTCGCAATGGGAGGAGTTTGTTGTGGTTTGAGAGACGTATCTGCGATCGAGTTGAATCGTAAATCATTTTTTGAACACGGAAAAACGGCTTGAGACCGCGAGCTGGGGCGTGAAGGCGGAGGCGAAGAAGATGTATGCGCTCCAGACAGGGCGGGGGATTGTCGCCGACTAGTTTTGTGATCTATTACGATATCTCAAACAACATTGCGGGTAGATAGTGAGTAACTTACTCGACTCGCCCGGAATTAAGGTCAAAGATGCGGTTCTGTCGTTTTCCCGGCTATATTCTGGCCAGAATTCTCTTTCTCTGTGTGAAGCGGTAGGTGAAGGACGATTTGGCGGCGGTTTACGCGATGCTAGCTGGATGTATGTGCGGCCTTCAGATTTGGGTGAGGCCGGCAATGGTGATGACGCGTCTCTTCCTCCCTCTGTCGTCGTCGTCAGACCCATATTCACGAAAGAAAGAGTGGCAATGCTCACCTTGTGCCTCCCCCTGTCCGACGTCGCGAGCCTGCAGGATATTGCCCGGAGCCTTCGATGGTTTATGGACATCTGAAAGAAATAGTGCTGATAGGCGACTCTGAGATGAACTCTCAGCCTGCGTTCGTTGTGGTGCTTGAAAAGAAAACACGGATTGTCGCGATGCGTCAGGAATGGCCAAGGCTTCAGCGTTCTTGAACAGAGCGAACTTGAAGGAATTTGCGTTGTGTGTCGAGCTGATTTTCGGGTTCTGTGTAAGTGGCTTACCCTGCGTCATTGAGAACGTCTTCGGCTTGACTTTTGTCGTTGACGGGTACGGTAGGCGGGAGCGCCGCGGTTCAATTTCGAAATTTGATTTCTGATTTCTGGGTTGAACCGCGGTGATGGAGCCCTAACCCGAACCTATGTGCAGATTTTGACCTGTTTTCATGAGATAAAAAGAAGGAAAAATTTCACTAAAGTTTTCTCAGCTCATGCCGAGGGAGGTGGAGCAAGAGGTGTCAGATCCACCGATCCAGCACGTTGACTCCCACGGGTGGGGGGAGGGGGGTACAGCCACCACCGGTTACCCGGCTAGAAGCTTCCCCGAAGCATGTCCTCGACATAACTTGTATTCTGATGAACGAGAGGCCCGCGCTGCTGTACCAAACTTTGTGTAATGATACTTCATAGCACAAATAGATAGGCAATCAGATCTACCTCGGAATAACCCGAGTCGTTTTTGACTGGGGTCAAGGTCCCGTGACAGATCTGACATCCAGCATCGCCGGATCTGACACCTCTTGAGGTGGAGAAGTGATGACAGGCACTGTACACGATTTAACAGGATTATAAATTTTATTCCTTAAACTCCTATACATCAAATTATACTTATGTGGGCCGATTTAACGGGATCTCCCGGATCACAACCAAAAGGGGAAGGTGCACGTGACCACGTGACCTGGCGCGTTGCGTCCTCCTCCCTCTTCTCGTCCTCCCCCGCCGCTTCGTCCCACTGATTCGTCCCCTCCCAAAAAGTTCGCTTGTGGTCAACCATTTTGTATTTATTATACCCGAAAATGCAAAAAAATTCCCAGTACTGACTTTCCCTGGGCAAATATGCTGCCCTTGTCCAAAATGGACCTCACATCACATCCTTGATTGGGGCCTGGGTGCTGCCAAATTCTTGGGAAATATACAAAACTTTCAGAGTTTCTTTGGTGGACCTGCCACTGCATGTTCACCCCTTTTTTTGCTCTTCAAAGAGATATTTGGAAGGTGGTTTGCTGCAAGAGACTGAAAATAAGTCAGAAAAGCACACATAAGTCGGCATAAGTGCTTATGTGGGATGGATTTAGCTTAAATCAAGTTCAATTTAGTGGATTTAACACCCTGTGATGCCAACCAGCTCAATTTAAGGTGTATTTCCATGAGCTGGCCTATCCCTGCACCCGATTTAAGGGTCTTTCGGCTCAGGGACCTAACCCTCTGCTATATCACATTGGCTGAATGTTTGTGTTCTGTCATTTAGGCCTTAAATTCATGTAATTCCCATGATATTGCAGGTAATTATATTTACATGAGATGTATATTATGAGGCAAAAAAGAAGTTTCAAAACTAAACCTAGCCTTCCATTTCCCAAGATTGACGAGATCTTCGAGGGGGGCACAACATGAGCATTGAGTCCTAAATATCACGCGGCATCGCATAGTGTTGAGCGTGTCGCGTAATGTCGAGCATGTCACGTAATGTCGAGCGCGTTGCGTAGTGTTGAGTGCGTGGCGTAGTGTTCAAGTTGAGCGCGTGGCATAGTGTTAAGTACGTGGGGTACTGTTGAGCGCGTCGCGTGGCCTAGTGCCGAGTGTGTCGCCTGGGTTGGCCACAACAAAGAGGGGGTTGCAAGGGGGTCGAGAGAGATGCAGGTGAGATGAAAGGGGTGGAAGTCAGGGTAGAAGGGCTTTGGAAGAAATGATTTCTCATGAAAAACGGAATCCGCTGATGGGCGCAATTTACTGAATTTAACATTCAGTCCCTTAAATCGAGTGAAATAATTGTACTTAAATTCTAAGAGAGGGAGTTCGAGACCCTGGGATGTACCACCAAGAATCCTCACTGGGAGTCAACATGTGGACCAGGCGGCCGTGGTCGAGTGAGACGCGGTGGTGGCCTCATCGCAGAGAGTGCCGGCGTTTTCGCAGGGCCACCTGTAGCTGGCACTGTTTTGCAAGATGTTGTGATATATCCCATAAGAATAATGTGCACAATCATCTGTTGTATCACATACCACTTGCAAGCTACTTGCACAATCCTTGGGTTATCATACTTACAATATACATGTCAGCTACTGGCCGAATAATCGGGCACAGAGACCGTTTAGGCGTCACTTGCACTTGGCATGCCCTGGCTCTTCCCGTTTCGAGCTCGGACGATCGGACGTGTAACATCAACTCTGATGGCGTGCTCCAGCCCGTTCTGGATACAGGGCGCATACTTAGATCTGCCAAGGATATTTGTCAACATATTCTTGCCGCTGTATCAGACAGCGACCACACGTGAAACTTGAGACACTCGAATAAAATCTGATAAAATTGGAAGAAAATCATACTACATTTCTACGCCCCAAACCCAACGACTTTGGGTGACTGTTCTGTTGTAAAGTCTACTCCGAACGATGGCGAACGTCCAGCTCATCCCTTTTGCTGCTTATGTCAGATCACCTTTCAAAATTTCATGCTCTGTCGGCGCTCGCTCTCAGGACCAGTCGCCTTTCACCTCGCCTCTGCTCTCGGTTGCAGCCTCCAGGGTAGACACCTCACTGCGTTTTAGTGTTCGATGCATGCGCGTAATCTCGTTGTCGCCACCACCCACCTTCAGCTTCAAAGCTTCAAGGCCCACACCGACCTCTGCCCCGTATGCTTCCTGCTCTCTCTTCGCCTCGAACTCGCCCCTCGTGCCTTTGGCATTGCGTTGCGCTGGCCCACTTTTGGTATGCACTTTGTTGGCTGATGTATCACCAAGCTACTTGCAATAATCATCGGTTTGTCTTAGGTCCTGGGAAGAAAGGGAAGAGGGTGTGTGGTGAGTTTCTGGTGACCTTCCGTTCCTTTTCTCACTCCCACCACTTTCCCCCCATCATATAGTTGGAAGCACTCAGTAGATGGATCCCCTGCCCCCGCCTCAAACCCTCTCTTCACAGCACACACAATCACAATTCCACGCCCTCGGCACTACTCCCTCAAGACCGCTCCGTCACCAACACGCAATCTCTCTGCCTCTGGGTTCCCATCATCATCCTCAGTTAGAGTGGGTTGCCACTGCCCACTGTCGGACCAGACCAGTTTTGTGATTGCCCTGTCAATGTATAGATGGACGTGCCGCTTATCTGCGCTGCAGCTGATTGAGCTTGCTGTGAACACAGAATAGATCATACTCCTGGGGGATGTGTTAGGCTGGGGATGGGGGGGTCAATGTGAAAATAGAGTGGCAAAAGGGTAACATTCACAAGCACCTTCCTGTAGATTAATTCATAATGAAGCAGATAATACATGGAATGTTCAAGCATCATCATTGTCCCCATCAACGTCCTCCTCGACCTCTGGGGGAATCACTTGATTTCCCTCGCACTTCAAATAATCGGGGACAAACCTCCAAAGATGCTGGCAGTAGGCCCTCATCCCACAAAACTGTGCCGCCTGATCTTGCGCATACGCTCTCCTTCCCTCTATCAATGCGCGATCTGCTCCAACTTCACCTCTTGCAGCTGACCATGTTTTTTCTCCGGTGTGACCATCCCAGTTTGTAGCGCGACTCTCAAAAAATGCGAGGACGCACCTCATCTCCTCGACAAGCAACTGCCTCCTCCGTCCACCGATCAGCCTGCGCTTTGCTTTTGCAGAACTCGATTCTCAGCGCTACATACTAAGGTGAACATCTGTCAAAAAAACTGCTTGAGAAATTTGAACAGGAACATCTAGTAATAAGTCAAACAAAATCTGACCGTGACCAACTGTGACAAAATAAATTGTTGTGACATAGCCTATACACAAATTTTCAAAGATAGCATTGTGTACTACCGTAGACTCGAACCAGTCTCTAACGGGTTCAATTCACTATGTTGAGTACTAGGGGAGGGACGGAGAGGACTTTGATGGACAAGTCCGGATTTGATCAGAGTAGGGCGGGTAATTGAACCCATAGAGACTGGTAGGGATTAACCGTAAGGTAACCGACAAGTTTTATAACTCCGATTATCGAGTATAAAAGGAAATTAAGGCGCACGTGTATTTGTTGATGGCCAAGACGCGTCGCGTAGATTTTGCAGAATACTATTCCTTGACACCATGAGCCCTCAAAAACGCGCGCGATCTGACGAAAACTCACCCCCCACGCCTGTTGCTACACCTCGGAGGTCACAGCGGAGAGATACACCCACCCCCACACCCAGGAACTTGCACGGCTTTCAGATCATTGATGGTCTCACACCTGTCCCAAACCTGAAGCGGCGTCGCGTTTTTACTGCCGAGGAGCTTGTCAATCACGAAGTTGAGCGGACTAGGGCTCAGAGGGAACATGCTGAAAGGCAGAGGGAGCAGGAGGTAGAACAAGTGAGAAGGGAGGAGCAGCAGAAAGTTGCCGCTCTTGATCGAGCGATGGAGGGGATCAAGGCAGCTGGCTTTTCAACATTCTTTGACTTTCTTCAAGCATCCCTGACCACATCTGATCCTAATCGGTCATCACAGGTCACACGCACACTTGCTGGAGCACACGGCACGAAAATTTTGAATCTCATACAAAAACGACAACCTGACATCTGCGTGGATTGGTCAATCAGCAATACCCGCACACTTATAGCTGCTGAATCGAAGAAGCTTGCTCACTATTTCCAGCCTGAAAGGAGCATGTCTGTTGCAGAAATCCTCTCCCAGTTCTCACTTGAGCGGATACTTTTAGATGCCTCGGTAATTGCACCATCGACTTGTGACCTTCTGCGGCATATAGGATATCCTTCGAACTCATCCATGACTTCATACAAAAATCGTGAATTGGTAACATTTACTTTTGTCCTTCCTTGTTTGAATTTGAATGATGAACATGTCATTAGATCTTCGCCACGACATTATGCATGCTTGCCAAATCGCAAAATGAGCATGCGACGGAGTACCAGACGACGATGTGCATGTATTTTCTTGCATGTGGCACATCTCATTCTCTCTTTGATGTTCTCAACCATGCTGGGGTTACCCTTTCATATACTCAGGCTGTTTCAAAGCTCAGGAAACTCGGTGCAGAGCGACTTGTTAGCATGCTTGCTCTGGTTCGCACACAGCCATGCATGATAATATGGGATAACCTCAACATCACTTTCAAAGTGGGTGAGCAGCGCCACGATTCTATGGACCACTTCGATAATGGAACCACGGCAACCCTTGTTCCTCTTTTTGGGGTGGAGCCTGGGGGGCTTCCACTTGATATTAAACCACCACGCTCCTGCTGCAAACCTCTTTTAACCTTTGGACCAGAGGATCTTCTTCCCACACGTGAAGAGGTGGAATGTGTTCAAGCTGGGCAGCTGTGGCACATTGAAGATATTTTATATGACGCTTTTCCTCTGCTCCGCAAGCGACTCAACACGGATATTAGACCTGCACCCAACATCCTTCAAATCCCACTCCACAAAACTGAACAGTACCCTCTTCCTGCAATGCATATTGATGAATCAAGCCTCAACGGAACACTTTCAGTCCTTGACACTATTATCCGTGGCTCGCTGAAGCTCACGGAGGACGATATAAAATGGCATGGTATATTTATTTGTGCTGGTGACCAGCTATCTATTTCACTGTCGGACAAGGTATTTTTTCTTCTAGATCCATTGAAGAAGGTGCTCTAATTTGGTTTTAGGCGTCCTCGGGCCGTCGTGATGATACTGATCTTATGGATAATGTGGGGCACTATACCCAATCTCAAGACGGAATTCTTCACATGAAAATGGCAGGCGATCGTATGGTTACTAATGAGTACTGGGGCAAACCGAACAGTAAATCTCCATTAGTGTTTGGAAGTTAGGTTAGTTAACCGGAAAATAACCGAGACTGGACCGAACCATAACCGATCAGGACCGCAAAAATTACCTAACCGATCCTAACCGTAACCACGGTCCGGTTAGTGGTTAGGTGTCATCCCAAAATATTCAAGACCAAACAAAAACCGGTTAGGACCGGTTATAACCGGTCTTTGTGTCCTAACATTACACACAAATATTCCCCTGTTTAAATGCTTTCTAACGATCCAAAAATCATATTTTTTAGTGGATATTGACATATTTACAGTGAATTGAAATTTAAGTGACTATTTTCCTGTCGTCACATGTGTGATAATGTGACATTGATACAACAATGGCAATCATCCATGAGAAACGCTTGCAGGTCAGGTGTACTCGACCTGCGAGGTTGTTTATGAAATGCTTGTATTAGAAATATAATATATGTTTGTAATTATGTTAGTACAGAGAAATAACTGGTTAGGACCGGTCATGTAACCGACCGCTAACCGTTACTAACCGATTATATCGGTTAGTAGCAGTCCGGTTCGGTTATTTTGGGTTTCGTGGCACAAGGTAACCAGTCTCGGTCTCGGTTAGAGCCCTCAAGGGCTCAATAACCGGACCGGACCGGACTTTCAAACACTAATCTCCATGGTCATTGTGGAAAGTAAACACCCTTCTAGGATGCAAGGCCATGGTAGCTGGTTGGAAAGCGAAGTCATTGCCCCCATTCCGACCATCATGGGAACTAATTCTTACTATGGCACTACCCGCAAATATTCTTGACGGCTTTCGTATCTATTGCCCAAAGGACTCGCTTGAGGATTGGGTAAATGACATTCGTACAGTTGACGAAGTCCACCATGTTGCCCAAAAGGTGCTTGTTGAACTTTGTTCTGCGCGGCGAGTTCAACATCTGCGTTGTGCAACCCCCATCAAACGTGACCTCCCTCTCGAAAACATTTGTCTGTTCAATCGGGATGCCCTATATCTCCGTCAACTCAAGTATGCGGTCAAACGAGGAGATGTTGGTGCAGTTCTTGACATCACTACTCACTGGATGCTAATGTTTCGGGGGACGGGTAAAATGCCAAAGTACGCAGATGCACTTTTTCACCTTATTATCGATTTAAAGATGATGGATCCTCGACTTCGGTGAGTGATTCCTCCTATTTAAAGATTAACCCACTGAAGATATCTTGATAGAAATGCATGGCTAATGAATTGGTTGGCAAATCTCACTGGAAAAGCAAATGGGTTCAAAGAAATGGATCTCCTCCAAGAACATCAAAACTTTTGGGCAAAGGTACTGACCTTCTCTTCTGTCGCAAATGCACTCTCATATATTGTATAGATTATTTACAATGCAAAAGGATCCAATCGAAGCTGGGCTTGGCTGGCAATGATTTCTGTCTCGATCTTCGCATTATGCGACGTGATTCGCAAGGTCCAGTCCGAGTATCAAACACCTTTCAACAGCATCTCCCATACCAGTCCATCTGCTGAAACCGATATCAAGACCCTACGCAATTACCTTGAACAACAAAAATTGCAAACATACTTCCCTGGACATGAAAATAATCAGCATGCCATGGAAGCCCGCGACCTTATGTCTGTTGGTGCTGAGTATGCGAACAAGCCTGGTGCATTCAAGAATTTTACCTATATGAAGTACAAGATGACTAACAATGGGTTGTCGGAAGGGGCCCCAGCTGCAGAGGATATTGGAGAGGATGATGCAATGCTGGTTGACGAAGAGGAAGTGGCTGACTTTGATTTAGGCTCCAATCCGGCACTGGAAGTGGATGACTTGGTACTTGATGACGATGAATACCCACTTGGAACCGATATCAATGACTATATTGCACGGACACGAGAAATTATCGAAGAGCTTTCTCACTTTGAGTAATAGTACCTTGTCTTTTAGTTATTCATAATTAGCAGGTGTAAGAACGGTGAAAGAAAACTGTAATTGAGCATTGTACTCCCTCTCCTGGCCTTGCTCTTCATCATAATATGCTGGCGTAAAATTAGTGAACGGCAATTGCAATGAAGCACTGTACAGCCCAGGCTGTAGTTTTAGACCCTTTTTCCCTGGGTCCACACAGGTGTGGACTTGGCATACATGGTGGAATAATCTGACCTCTTCCCATGCCAAAATTTTCTACATTACCATTCCCTCACAGAATTTGTATTTGGGATTTTGAAATGGGGCGAAAAATCCATTTTCGGGGTCATAATGTAGCCCTAGGATAGGTTTTCCGAGATAGCCCATCATAATTGTTGTTTGGTGTTGGCTTTTCCCATCATCATTTGTTGATCACTTCCGCTGTCAGTTGATATGACTTCCGCTGTCAATTGATATAACTTCTGCTTTCCGCTGATATGATTTCCTTACCCTTCGTATGATTTCCGTACTTGTATGTTATATTTTATATATGTTTTTTTCCGCGCTTTTTCTCCGAAAAATAAAAACATAGGGATAGCAATAGAATGCACTTTCTGCACTTTTTCAAGACATATCACCCAAATGTATGTCACATTACTCTCATTTTAGTGCATACACATTGTTTTAATGGGAATCCACCCATACGCGCTGTGCGAAGGACGTGTCAAAGTCGACGCGACGTTGTTGCAACACGTTCAACGAGTCACGTGACGTGTTGAACTTGGCTGCCCATCCTGCCGGTCTCGTTTTGACCAGGCTAGACTCCATCTACATTCAAGAAAACAGTTTTTTACTATACTAATAGTAGA